TTTTGGTAGAGCCTAGTTTTCCCTTCTAATGTGCATGCTTAATTTACAAGTTTTGGAGATTTGAAGATGAGATGGTTTTATGATGGCAAAGTGCAATAGTATATGCAGACTGTGTATAGCTGCAGCAGTAATACTATGAAAATTTAATGTAACTAATAAACATAAATTTATTATTTGAGACAGCAGATTTGTTTTGGCTTCAGCCCAGAAAATCGTTGGTTGAGTACTTAATTTCATGCACCTGACTCATCTATTGGCTTGGAATGACTCCTGTACTTAAATTCAAACTCATGATCCACATTCTTTGGTATTTTAACTGTGTGAAGATAGTTCTGCTCTTATTGCTATGTGATTCTTTGAACACCTGTATCACAATTGATACCTGATATTTTTATGAATATTGCATATGAAGCCATCTTTTGCATTCTTTGCAGACCTGATTTGTGTAGTCAGAAAATTGCTCTAGTAAAAAGCAAAGTCCCTTTTTATGAATTTTTTATTCTTAAGTCATCATAGCTAGAATTACTCTATTAGACTTTAAACACTAGGTGTCTGAATGCTGCAAAGATGAAAGAGAATAACGTTAGACTTCAAAATAAACAGTCTGGCATCAGAATAACAGTGTCTGTGGAAGAATTTTAGCATGTCAAAATCAGAATAATGCCATTTGGGTGAAGTCTTGCTTTCACATACATTTCTTGGATTTAGCTTATCAAGTTACCACCAAATGAAGTGCTCTTTGAAGTCATGCATTTCTACACTTCAGAGGGTTTTGTCACAAAATACATGAATGAGTACCTTGTTACTGAGGGGTGGGGTTGACTGTTAAATGCCTTTGCCTCCTCAAGTTGAGTCCAGTTTGGAAGTCTGATGGTGGATTGGGCTATAAATATACAAGTATATCTTAATTAAATATATCTTCTGCCTCTAAAAGATGCTTGTACCTAATTTCTTTAATTGGTGCTTTCCTCCAGGAACGTAAATGAGATTAAATGAGATTTTGTGATAGAAAAGCTCAGGTTTTGGTTTGAATGCATGAGATCTAAGTCGGCAACTGTGCAGTTGCAACTAGGATGCTCCTTTCTGATCTGTACCGTACCAGTTTCACAAGCTAATGAGATTCTGAGTGCCAATCCCTGCATTTTGGGAGGCATCGTATGTGATAATCTGATCATACTGAAGGTGTAAAACTTTTCTTTGAATTCATTGAGTCTGAAATTTCTGGGCAAAAGCATGTTTTTAATGCATTGATAGACATTTCTGGGTTAATCTTTTGTATGTCTTGTCATATATTGACTTTGATGGCATAACATTTCTGTCACAGAATGTTTACATGTAATAGAAAAATGCAGTATTTTTGTGATAAGGCTTGACATGACTTTACACCTTTTCATTTGTTGGTGCTACTTAGTAGGCAACTCATGATAAACTTGTGTGCAACGTTATCAGTAAATACCTTTCATGACAAAAGGCAGAACAGAAATAAAAACACATCCATTAATCAAATAACTTGTTCAGCACAGGACATGGTATCCTTTTCTTTCAACTAAAGGTTTTAACTGTAAGAAATGAAGAGAAGCAATGGAGTTCTACAGTGTTATCTGCATTATTTCTATGAACATTTCTATGAATTTCTATTATTACAACAGCCAAAATGGGGCATTTTATTAAACAAAAAATAACAACAGTGATTAAACATAAGGACCAAGTAAGTGAGTCCAGGTAGCTAGACTGTCAAATGTAGCTATTTTTTAAAATAGAACTTGCATAAGGCCTATATTTTGATTGATTCAAAGTCACATAATAGAGGAAAACAGCAAAAAATAAACAACCAGTAAAAGTAAAATATAATGTAAGAATAATATGGATATGGGATCCAGACTTGTTTGAAAATGAAATGTTACAAAATATGTAAAAGTCCATCAATCTTTCAAGAAGAATTAAAGTGCAGAGTTTTCTTTAGAAAATATAATACATAGGTGCCAGAATTTCCATATCATATGTCTTTGTTGGTAACATATCAAAGACAGATTATATAAAATATCCATTAGGTTTCAGCATACTATAGACAATGCACAGGTTTTGTTAAATATTACCCTAGAAGAACAAATACTGAGGGCTTGCAACTTACACAATATAATCACAGCTCTATATTTTCTGTGGCATGCTGAACCTAACCTTTTATCAATAAAGTCCACAGCCTTATATATATAGCCACAGTATATTTTTATGGAAGTACAAACTCCTGAAAAATGTAGGTTTTCATCTAATCAAGCATTAAGATAATTGACTTTCAATACTGTATTAAAAATGGCAGAAACAACTCTGTTTATTAAAAAAAATAGTGCTATATTAAAGCAATATTAACTCAATAAAGCACTTTCAGGAAGACATAAAATTAGTTACTGCTGTTGAAGAAATATCACTTTACCACCCAGTGTTGTTACCAAGTTGTTTCAGCATATCAGGTGACTGTATGTGAAAGCAAAGTGTGTAGGAACTTGGCTAAACAGTGTTGTCAATTTATCTAAAAACCTTATCTGCTGCTTGGTGTTTAGACACTGTAGGTTTTCTTCTTTGGATATGGTTTCAGAACATTTTGGGTGACATTTAAGCCCGTGGGACATTGCTTTAATTCTGTGCCTGCTAAATTTCTTGTAGGGAGATATTGTTGAGAGAAACATATCAGAAATTTTAGCAAATTGCTCTGAGTGCAGAGAAACTTGAAATATTTGGTTAGGATTTGGAATTGTAACAATCATTTGAAACCATGAAGTAAATGCTGTGTCAAGATGGTGCCAATTATTTTCTCTATTACTGCTGCAGTCTGGAAGAGCCACTCTGCTTTCCTTATTCAAAAGGAGTCTCTGTTTTGTTGGAAAAAAATATTCAGTATCTGAAAAATTTACAGTATTAGGAGTGAGTGTTCGTTGCTAGTAGTCAGTCCTCAAAATTACAAAATGGTTTGGAAGTGAGAAGTGTCAGAATAAAATGTGTGCTTATCTGTTCTGAATCAGGAGTATGATTATATGATTCTATGAGACCTTTCCATCATAATGCCTCACCAAGGCTGTTTTGATGCAGTGGCGTGCAGATTTCAAAATTTTGTCTTTGACTTGAGAAACGCTGAACTTAAGTTTGTGAAAGGTAAAATAAATTGTGTACTCATTTGTAATACAATACCTTCTGTAAATCTCCCAGAAAAGATTTCTCCAAATTTTATTTCCTCTCTTATGAGGAAAGGTAGAGAGACCTGGGCCTGTTTAGCCTGGAAAAGACTGCGAGGGGATCTTATCAATACTTAGAAATATCTAAAGGGGGGCCTGTCAAGAGGATGGGGCCAGGCTTTTTTCAGTGGTACCCAGCAACAGGACAAGGGCCAGTGGCCACAAACTGGAAGAGAGGAAGTTCCAAGTTCAACATGAGGAAAAACGTCTTTACTTTATGGGTGACAAAGCACTGGAACAGGCTGCCCAGAGTGGCTGTGGAGTCATTGCCTCTGGAAACAGTCAAAACTTGACTGGACACAATCCCGTGCAATCTGCTGTAGGTGAACATGCTTTAGCAGAGGGATTGGACTAGATGATCTCCAGAGGTCCCTTCCAATCCCTAACATTCTGTGGTTCTGTGATTCTGTAAGGTTTGGCAGCAATATGAGGTTATATCTCAAAGAAACGTAAAACAACAACAAAAACAAGAATAAAAGAAAACCTCACACCTCACAAACATAAAGAAACATGCCAAAAAATCCCAAACCAAATTGGCTCTGACACATCACCAAACTGTGAAAGTGAACATTTTAAATGTCAAGGACCATATTAAGATGAAAGTCTGGCGGTATTGCAGTAAGAACAAGTTTGGCCATAAAATACAACAAAATAGCACTTGATTCTTAATAGATAATAATCATTAAATCCTTCTCAAGGATTCAGGATGTATTTTAATACTTTCTAATTTGTTCGAAATTTATACTGTTAGTTGCATTTTGCTCGCTTTGGAAATGAAACATAAATTTGCTTTGGGTTTTTTGGTTCCTAATTATATTTACATTCTAAGAAACCTTCATGCAAAGACAAATGAAATATTTTTGATACTTTCTCTTCTGTATCAGATCTATAAAGCTAGATTGTGATGGTGACATATGATTAGAAGCTCATAGACAATTTCCATTCTTAAGTACATTTTTTGGTTAACATTAACACTCATTTGACTTTCACTTTAGATAGCTGCATGGTTTTATGAACACTGGTAGTGTGAATAATTGATTCAGTACACAAAAGAGCTTTATTTAACACATTTATTTCTTTAACAGGTATATTTTACACTTGTAGTTAACCTTTACTGTGCTAAAGGTTTATTACTTAAAAATGTAATTCCTTTGAAAAGTATTCAAATAAAAAGCTGTACTGTACCTTATTGTATATCTAGTTTGCAGCATGGAATATGTATTTTTAAAGATCTTTGAAAAATATTGGACTAAATTATCTTTTGTCTTAAATGGGCAGTTTCATTTTCTAAGGGTCTCCTAGCAATACACTCTTGGTGCATAACAGAGTTATAGCAATGGAAATTATTTATTTTTATGTGAGTTATAAAATCTCTAATTTTGAGAACGATAACCTGGCATCTATTAATTATCAAAACTGTGTTTTGTCACTTCAGAGCTTTGTTTATATGTAGCCTGAGAAGAAATCAAGTAATTGTCTGGTTCCAGACTTGGTGTTGACTGAAATTATAGGGTTTTTTAAGAATGAAAATTTCATTCATTCAATACAATAACAGTGTTAAAACAGTGACGAACACCTTGGGACATAGTTATTTCTGAATTCCTTTTTCCAATAGAATGATGGCTTAGCAATAAGACTGTCAAAAAGTTGAGTAAAAAAATAATGCAATTCTTATTTTTCTAAGTGCTATGAGAGGAATAAGAGTGTTTGATGCATGAAATGTCTTCTTGTATTTGCAAAATGTAACTAAAATAAAGCACCACTTCTTTCTAGCTAAGTAACCTGAAACAAGTCACAGTTGTGGACGTGTCAGCAAACAAGTTCCATTCTATTCCAATTTGTGTACTTCGGATGTCTAACTTGCAGTGGTTGGATATTAGCAGCAACAACCTGAAAGATCTGCCAGAAGACATAGACAGGTAGTTTATGTTTTAATTCATTGACAGACCTGTGAACTAGAAAGCAAATCTAGAAAGTAACAAGCTTCCAAGGGACACCACTAATGAAAAATCACATGAAAAAATTACATTTGGAAATGCATCATATGGTAGTTTTGCACATTATCTTTACCATTATTATTGATGGACTAGGTCGGATAACAGAAACTACATTTTCTAGATCATTGACTGCAGATTGCACAGTCAGTTCCTTTACTGTTCAGCTAACTAACTACATTTTCTGCTGCACTTATGATAATCTGTCATTATATCCAGATTATTTGAGAGGTTCATGGGGCTTACTCTGCCCTAGTTCCAGTAAAGGGGACTTACCATATGGAGTTGGCAGCAGTATCTCTCAGAAGGATAGATGGGGTGGAGGGAAAGATGAACTAAAGCATATTTGTGTTGCTGAAAGAACCTGATGAACTCTGGCAGTAAGGCAGAAAAATATTGACAAGATGAAAAAAACCAATGACAATCATCTCTTCCTATTCTGAAATATATATGTATGTGCACACATACAATGACTCTTTCAATTTAGAGATCTACTAGAAATAGTTTTAAAAAATCATGCTGATCACTTTAAATGGGCCTTACTAGCCTAAGAAACACTTTTCTTATCCCTGGACTTATTTATTCACTCTAGAGTTCTGTTGTAACTTGGTTTACAAAACTTTACATAGCCATGCCTAAACCAAAGCACATATTAACTAAAGTTTATTAAAAAATATATGGATTGTTTATTGAACTGGGAATAGAGGTCCCTGGGGCAGAAGAAGCTTCACGGAAAACTCATTCAACTGTAACTTTCACAAGACCTTTGTTGCTGGGCAAAAAGACTTTTCTGGGATATTGTGCGATCACAGATTTCTCTGAGAGTAGTGCTGAAGTCTTAAGTATTAGTAAAACATGTTCTTGCCACAACAGCATAAACCTGTCATTGTTTTCCAGGGGATCTAAGCAGAGATTTGATTAACTTCAAAAAGCTTCTAAGAGAATATTTTTATATTATGGAAGGATACTCATTCAACTTAAGGGTCATTTTCCCCCTCTAACCTATATGTATTTCTCTATCTCCAAAATGCTCATTTTCTGCATTTCATCTCCATTTTATACTGAGTTGCCCACCTCAATACTGCTCAATATTGTGTTGCCAGCATCGTAGTCAAGACACAAAAAAAAGAGTTTTATTTGTTTTGCTTTGGGTTTTGAATTTTGAGATCTCTTGGGCTCATGTGCATTCTGAAGACTAGAAATGTCAGGACATTGCCCCCAGTAAACTGATACTCTTATTCTGACTCATGATTTTAATGCCTGTGGCATCAAAGAATCTCAGTGAACTACCATGAAGTCTGTGATTAAAAAAGATGAGTGGGCAGTATACTGAAGCCTTACTCAATATCTTTCCATCAATTGAAACTAACCATATGAGCCTGATAAGCAATAGCCTGCAACAGTGCTTTACGAATGGACCCTTCTGGTCAAATGAGACAAATCTCTTTCATCACTTTGCTATGCATTTTGTCTTCCATCTTTTCCAAAGAATAACTGCTCAGCCACAGATCACTACTGAATTAGGAAAAGCCAGGGGAAATAAAGCAAAAGAAGCCAAACACCTTACTTTAGAAAACATTGTCATTAAATTGCTTTTAGTGGGACAACTTGCAAGAGCCATGTTTGACCAGGAGCTGGTCTTTCTCTTACTCCTTACAGTAGCAATTACTAGTGAAAAACAGTAGATGGGAATATCCTGCCTAGCACAGCTGTACCTAGTTCATTGAAATCAGCATATGGGCAAAGGTGTGAGTTGGTGACCCATATTTTTCATTAGTTCCAGTATACACATGGTGAGGCTTTGTAATCATATTCTTTCAACATCTTCTGTATGGCAGCACAGTAATTTTTGGAACCTTTTATCTCGGTCATACTTCTGAGTACTTGTCAGAGGTATGCTATTAATATTTATAATGTTGAACCATGACTGGAAATTTCCATTGAAGTAGATGAAAATGTGATATAATTTTTGAGAAGCCAAAGATGGTGTGTGTAATTGCTCTTCTTTTACACCAGATTAAGTCTCTATTGCTAGTTTGGATAGATGCTCCTGTCTGAAATAAATAGTAAGTTATCTTTGTCTTTTATACTTTTACAGGTTAGATCAACTGCAGACGCTTCTCCTACAGAAAAACAAGTTGACCTATCTTCCACGAGCTCTGGTCAATATGACAAAGCTCAGTTTGCTAGTTGTCAGTGGTGATGATCTGGTTGAGATACCCACAGCCATCTGTGAGTCAACCACAGGTTTAAAGTAAGTAAAAGTGAGAGAGAAAGGCATATGTGCTTAAGAAGATATGGTAGAGGCACCCAGGAGAAATATTTTCACAAGCATCAGTTTCTGCCATACCTGGTGATCAAATTCTGACTCATTTTCTATCAGAACCCTTAAGGCAGCACTAGAAAGACTGGAAATTGCAGAGGAGCCACAGCTTTCTGATGTTCATCTACCACTTCCACACATGGTACATCTGTATGCCTAAACTGCTATTCCTGTGTAGGCTTGGATCATAGTAGCTCTAATGCTGGAGCTGCAAGGCCATGCTCCAGAGTGGGACCAGTAGCCTGGCAGCTAGCTGTTGATAAGCTCAGTGCTGCTAAAGGTACGCTGCTGGGAGTGAGCGACACGACTAGTTAAAAGGCTAGATAGTGTCACATGAGTTTAGTCGTTCATATATGCTGTGCTGTGAAATAGCACCGTGTTGCTGCATGCAGGATAAGGACAGTCTTATTTAAAAGGTCTTTTACTTACAATGCTCTTGCATTTCTGCAGATAGCATTCAGGTATTGATTGTGAAACCATTTGTCACTCTATACTGGTTCTGGCTGGGATGGGGTCAGCTTTCCCTGTAGCAGCCCTTATAGTGCTCTGCTTTGTAGCTAGAATGATGAAAAACATACTAAAGTTTTCGACTACTGTTAAGCAGTGCTCCCACAGCATCAAGGCTGTCTCTCTAACCCTCCCCCACAAAGGCCAGTAAGCTGAGGATGTGCAAGAGGTTGGGGTTAACATAGCTGGGACAGCTGACTCAAGCTGACCAAAGGGCTATTTCATACCATATGACATTATGCTTGGCAGTAAAAGCTAAGAGAAAGGAGAAGGGAGGTGGATCATTTGCTATTAAGGTGTTTTTCTTCCAAAGCAACTGCTACACACAATGACTCCCTCCTTCCCAAACAGTAGCTGGACATTGCCTCTTCATGAGAAGTAGAGACAGACTAACAGCAATTAATGAGATTTTATAAAGCCATATAATTTTTTTGAGCATTTGTTGTTTGAAAGTAACAATTTTATTGCTTTTTTTCTTTTTCCTTCTTTGAGTGGTAATATCATCAGAGATTTTCAGAATACTGTGCACTCAATTTACACATTATGTAAGTTGTTCATCTGACCAGCTAGTTTTTCACCTGCAATGTGTAGCTTTAGGCAATTTGCAAATACAATATAATGCATGTACAGTCATGCATTGTAAAAGAGAATTAACATAACAACCAAAAAACATGAGATAAATATTGTTAGCTAGGTGATGCTGGCAAAATTCCAGATTGCTAGGCAATATTGTTAGGGTGGAGTTCATACTGCTCATTAACATGTGAAATTATGGTATAGTCTGTTGGAAGTTCTGTAATAGAGAAATATACCTGTTATTGCAAAGAATGAGTTATGTAGATAGATAAAAAGAAAGAGATAAATCTGATCAGTCTTTATATGGAAAGTGGAATAGAGACAAGGTGCCATTTGAAATATTTATTTCTAATAATAAATGTATCCCAACAATTCCCTAATGCAAAAACCGAGGAAATGTTCATTTCATTTCTATTTCTGGCTGTAGCAGCAACTTCTAAATGTCATTCACATTGGCCAGTTATGTTCAGAAGCCTGATGTGTATATTCTTGTCTTAACCTCTCTCTAGATTCGTAAGTCTCAAGGACAGTCCAGTTGAAACTATTGTATGTGAGGACACTGCAGAAGTTATAGAAAGTGAACGTGAACGGGAGCAATTTGAGAAAGAGTTTATGAAAGCATACATTGAAGACCTAAAGGAAAGGGGTATGTGTTATCCTGCAGTAAAATTCCTGCTATCTAGGATGTAAATGCAGTCACACATTAGGAACATTAATTTTTAACAGCAGAAGCAGTGTACTCTTGAACTGTAATTGTCTATTATGGTATTAAATAAGACTAAAAGTGAAAATGTTAAATGTGTTTTGTTAAAAGTTTGGGGCCTAGCTTACACATTTGATATTGAACAAATATATACCAATTTAATGGTATGTTTGTACATGCATTAACCTTAATTCAATGATAACATGTGCAATGATTATCCTCATTCTCCAGATTTACTTACCTCCCTTGGGATTAACATTAGTGATTTTGAATTTCTGCATAAGTGCTTCTCCTCCTCAAAAAGAAACACAATGTATAAATAAAATGCTCTTTGCATTAGGAGAACATTATTTAACAGTCTATCTGTGTCAATGTACTAGTTTTTTAACCACTGTAAAATTACTGTAAGATCACTGCTTTTGTCTTTATTGCACAGCATCTGAAAGTTTGCATATTATTTTGCTAGTCTGTCTTATTTTTACTATAATTGTCAGTCTCTTGAGTCTTGTTTAGTTAAAAGTATTAGGAAACAAATTTCTGGTGATTCAAATTACCCTAAAGGCTCTGTTTAAATCTCTTTGAGAGTTTTTGTGTAGAAATGAGTTTTTGTGGAATGGAGCATATGGAATCTTTTCCTTCCTTACATTTCATGTAAATGGTCTGTATACTGGTCCTGTAAGACCTCGTAAAATACAAATGTAATGAAAAGCCACAGGATGTGGCTGCAGAATAGTTTTAATGTTCTGATACTGGACTTTTGTAGCTAAATGTCCATAAACTGCACACTTGAGTATTCAAGCTATCTACTTCTAAAGTGAAGTCTGCTATAAGTGTGTGAGATTCTGATAATGGTAGCAACAGTGGTTTAAATGGAGAAAAAGAATGCAGGAAATACTGAAATCATAGTCTGACTCTAGAGATACTCATGAAATATGTAGTGATGGAGTTATATTTACATATCTGTGAAATGTGCATTCTAAGAGAATGGCTGCCAGGTTGAAACTTGTATTTGGCCCTGTCAGATATAGGCCAGCTTCATACTCCTTTGTGGCGAAACAGCTCAGAGATGCAGTTTTCTGCCTTCCTAGACAAAACTTTTTATATGCTTTTTGTGATGAGGTTGGATTATGCATCACTCTTGGATTTCCTGCTTCTGAAGTCTAGTGCTATAAATTATGCCAATTCCTGCTTTTGAAAAGCAGACTGGAGAAGGAATAGCTTCTGTATAACATGAGCCAGCAGAATTTCTGAAAGATAGCACAGAGATCATTTATAGAGTACTTCTGAAATAAAACTAAACCTAGATGTCTCTAGCTAAGGGCTATATTTATTTGTGCTGAACTACATAGAAGTCTGAGATGTATTTCTTTTTTCTTTTTTTCACAGATTCTACTCCTTCCTACACTACAAAAGTGTTACTCAGTCTTCAGCTTTGAAGATCAAAAATCTCTAAATAGCTAGTAAATATCAGAATAACTCTATTTTTATTCATCTCAGTAGAAAACAACTGAAACCATAGACAGTTAGAACACTTTACAATTATAGTGAATTTTTTGTTAGTGTAGTTGCTTCCAGTAACTACAGAAAAAACAAAGATCAGCCTTCAGAAGATGCTGTTTCAATTTTAAATCAACATCTTTTATTTTCAAGTCCATAGCAACAGCCACTAATTTACATATAGACTTGCTGAAGGTAAATATTCAGTGTAATTAAGAGTACACAGGCATAGATGCCCTCAGGATGAAGACGTTTTATGTTGTAGCTTAAACAGTGGAATGTAAATCATCATCTTAAAAAGATATTTCATTTTATAAGAGGGGAAGGATTGATTTAGAAAATGAATGTGATCTGTTGTATTCTTAAGATCAAACACCACATTTAGTTCTTTACAATATTTGAAGTGCAAACACATGGTCACTTTCTGTTCTTCAAGGAAATTGTCCTTCTTGAGATTTTCACTTTAGATAAGTGTCAACAACTTTATATATAAAAAAGTGTAGCAATTCTGTTGCTTTTTTTGAGCATATTATAAGCTTTTACCTGTTTACAAATTCAAGTACCAAACTGACTGAAACTTCTGTGCTAAGCAGACTTATAATATAGCAGTGTATTAAATAAGATTTTAAGGACTAAGCAATGTGAACAAATACTATCAGGAAAATTATGATAAAGGTCTTCTACTAATGGTTTCAGATTACAGGGGTTTTTTGACATTTATTGGAATTTTCCAAGTTGTGTAAGAATGAGTTTGCTGGATAAAAAGTTTTGTTGCTTGCTATTTAATAATCTGTCTATATAGAATTATATAAATGTATATAGAGATTCAGAAATCTAGTTTTACATTTTTTTTTGTTTAATAAAGCAATACTTTTTAATCTAAAAGGACTTGAGACTCTGAGAATTCAGACTTAATTAAGTAGTCCTAAACTTAGGAGTACAGTTAGGGGAAATTATATTTATAGCTTGCTTTTCTATTACACATGAGCTATGTCCAGTTTTGTACAGTAGAATGCCACTTTAGTCAGTCATATTTAAAAAGCAGAGCAACAAAGGATGCTGTTGTGGTTTAGGCACAGTGAATAACTGAGCACCATGATGCCCCAAAACTGGGACTAGTCAAAATAAGAAGTGGGAGGGCTTCTCACCTCTTAAACAGTCACAGGTCGACCTGTGCTCTTGCCACGGGTTGCAGGGGGAACCTGGGCTCTGCGTCCTCCTCCTCCCTCTCCTTTCTTCCTTCACTGACTTTGGTGTTTTTTAAAGTTGTTCTCCTCAGGTGCCTCTCTTTTCTCTGCTTCAGGTCCCTTCTGATGGTTCTGAAGAGTTCCCAGCTCTCTCTTTTGGGGATGGAGCTGCAGTGGGGCTTAAGCTTAAACTGGGGCTAGGCCAGGCCGGGTCTGCGTCACCCGCACCTGGGGCCGTGTTGGTCAGAGCCGGTGCCAGAGAGGGAGTGCACTGCATCCCCCTCCCCCACCTTAAATACATGAATTCACAGCGACGCTGATTGGCTTGGCCCTGGTCAGAGGTGGGTCTGACATTGAAGCCAGGGGAGTTTTTCAGGTAGCTTCTTACAGGGCTATCTCCATAGCCCTCCCCCTACTACCAAAACCAAAACCCCCTCACAGAAAACCTAATACAGATGCACCTCTCAAGAACTGAATATAAAAAACACTGCTTTTGATGTTTTCTTTACCTTTTTCCTTTTTAGCATGAATTCTTTTGAAAGAAGAGAATTTGTAAATACTAGGTGTGTTATTTATTCCAGTCAAGAGCTCCTGCAGTTCTATTACTATCCAAAACTACACCCTCTGGAGTTGATCTTTGGGTGTAAATGTGGATTTTGAGCAAGTGCTGGAACAAAAAGAAAGTTTCAAAAAACTCTCAAGGAAATTTGACATTGATCTGAAACAGAGTGATGGAAGATTTGAAACATTTTTTATTATGAAGACACTGAAATATGATAAAATAATGGCAATCAAATTGTGCTTATAGAAATCAGGCTATCTGAAACTATCCTACCAAACTTCCTTTTAGTAAAATTATAAATTTGGTTGATTAGGTATTGATATTGGTGTAATAAACTTCTGTGAGACATCTGATTTGGCATTGCTTGAATCTCTTTTTTTTAGAGTTCTAATGTAGTCTAATATGATACACCGAAATTCATAGAAATAGAAATCACAAATGCTGTGTTTATAGAATGGAGATGTCCATTATGGAAGTTGTAACTTTAAGAAAAACTAAGGGTCCAAATGTAATTAACTAAACAAAAGATTCCAGTGCAAATTCGAGTGCCAGAATTGTTGGATATATAAACATAGAAGGTACTTGAATAGAAAAGTTGTATTAGTACTTATTTAGCACTGAGAGAGTTTTACTTGAGAGATTTCTGCTGTTCACAGGTAAGAGTGATGGAGATAAACTGGGGAACATTCAGCACAAAGCCAATAGCATAAATAGAAAACATGCATTTTTAAGTTAATTGAACAGTGAAAAAGTCCATTTGCTTGTCAGTGTTTATCAATGAAAAATCACAGTCTAGAAACAGGGTATTTTACTGCTGCAGAAAAAGATAAGGCAGAAGACTGAAACTTGAATTCACAGATTTGAGCTAGAAACAAAAGGCCTGTATTTCAATAAGAGTAACCATGGGAAAATGCACAAACTGCTGATAAATTCTCCGTCATTAGCAATCTTTATTTCTAGGTTAATACTGACGTTAAAGAATTGATGTAACAAGTAAACCATGGAAAATGCATGGTAAGTGGTATACAGGGGATCAAACTAGTGTTCCCCATTTGACTTTGGACATCTGTGAATCTAATTTTCATAGAAACATAGAGTGGTTTCTGTTAGAGGGGACCTCTGAAGATTATCTAACCCAACCCCTCTACCACAGGCAGGGACATCTTTCACTAGATCAGGTTTTTCAAAATCCAACTTGACCTTGAATATTTCCCATGATGGGGCATCCATGCCTTCTCTAGGAAATCTGATCTAGTGTCTCACCACTCCCATCATAAAGAATTTCTTCCTTAGATCCAATCTAAATCTACCCTATTTCAGTTTAAAACTCCTAGTCCTTGTCCTGCCACTACAGTATCTGGCAAAAAAATCCTTCTCCATCTTTGTCATAAGCTCCCTTTATATATTGAAAAGCTGCAATAACGTCTCTTTGGAGTCTTCACTTTTCCAGGCTGAACAATCTCAACTCTTTCAGCTGGTCTTTAAGTCAAAAATGGTGTGTGTATACGTACAACTGTCTCCATTACACCTAATGTCATATTTAAAAATGAGGGTAATGTCAGATATAAATGAAAGTCCTAAATTCAGTATAACTGCTTTTGAGTTCTACTTGTATGTCTTGTACAGCAAAATCACCATGAGAACATACTTATTCCATGCTGTTAAATGTAATTTTATTAGTGTCATCCATTGCAGTACAAAATCTTTGTGTCAAAAGACACCTCATTCTGAATCTGGTCTAATGTTACTGGTTTTCTAGCCAACTTGGTTTACTAGAAATTTTATTTTAAACTATTATCTTTCACTAAAAAACACTATTCCATAGAAGAGAATTTTGTTATTGGTGTGCTGCATACTTACTTTTTCAGTTATTGAAAGTGAATAATTTTATGAAATTAATTGTGTGTACTATTGGCAATTTATGCTATTTTCAAGCTTCTGATGTCAGATACCTAGATGTCAAAAGGAAAGCAATGTGTTTTTTCTTCTGAGCTTCAAAATCAACATACATGTGTTGTGTTCAGCATTTTTATTGGCTGTGATTAGCTGCCAAATACTACAGTTCCTAAAACTTAACACTTTCCTTCTGCTTCAGAAGTAGCCACTATTCAAAAGCAGAAAGACCGAGAGCAATTGAAATATGTGTTATAGGATACTCATTGATTCAATGTGCAAAAGTAAATAGGATAAGTACTTTTCATTGTATTCCTTTTTCTTTTTATGCACTGTTTCAGCCTTGATTTAAGGGCAGAAAAGTGTAAGCTAGGAAGATAGACTTCTAATGAAAGCAAATGACCTAAAATTTAATTAATGAGTACCTAAAAATAACATAGTTTTGCATCACATATTGGTTTAAAATTTACAGTTAACACTGTACAATATATTTTTATTTCTCCTTGAACAATTATACACCATCAGAACTCTTTTACTGTGTTTGTTTTCTGCAAAGGAAGCACTGAGCAAAATGAAAAGGAATGCTCTTTTCTTGATGAAGTGACTTGATTTCAGCAGCTGCTAGGTCCAGTCATCTTCTGTGGAAGACTTCTGTAGAGATTAGCTCCTGCTTCATAGAGGATGGGAGAAGACTAGAAAGTAGAGGATTTTTTTTTCTGGTTTTGAGGCCTCATTTGAGGTAGTCCTCATAAACAGAAGAATGGTAATGCAGCATAACTCTGGTTAACCCTTCTGTATGTGGAACAGTGTCCTCTCTTTTTAATAGTTGAATCTGCTACTTGGGCTGATTCCAGCTGTGACAATATTCTGTCCACTAGCTTGCTCTCTTCTTCACTTCACTGGTCCATTAACAGCTATGGGTGTTGCTTAATGTAAATAGAGGATGGTGTTTTCATTGTGTACTAACTGTCATTAATATGAAGGGATAACTACTATCTCTTGCCTGTCCCTGGAACTTCGAGTTTTCTTGTTGCCAAATGCAACACAACAGCTTGTGGTTCAGCAAAATCTTAGTAAAGATGCATTTATATCTAAAATGCAGTTCCATCTTAAACATATTGACTCTACCGTGCTCAGAACTTCTGTTTTACCACTAATGCTTCCAGCCTTTTCCTAAAATCAACACTGACATTTATAAAATAATTGAATTAGCTGTCAAAACTTGGTGAATAGATCTGTAAGGAAGGTCATTAGCTTAGAGAACTAAAAATCAGTTTTAGGTTATACAAGAGCAGCG